CCGAAACCTTAAGGAAGCCCCTAATTAAAAGTTGCCTTGTCATGGTATCTCTTCCCAGAAATAGGACGGTAACTAAGACAACTTTCGACACTGGGTTTCTTTGGAATAGTCTCCTTTTCCTTGGGCAGGTCATCATCTTCCACCCTGTCACACCTCCTTTTCCTTAATTCCCTATAGCCTCAGTCTGCAAAGCACATCTCTTCTCAGACGGAGACAGGCATGCCGTCACTGGGTGCTACTGAGGAGAGCTCTGGGAGGAAAGTGAAGGAAACACATCCTTTCAGAAATGATGAAGTGATTTCCTAAGCTGCACGGATGAAAACCTCATCTAGAAATGACAGTGCACCGGGAACCACATGAGAATTTCCTGGAGTAAGTGCTTCTGTTACTCAGCGGGGCAGTTATACACCTGACAGGAGTAAGCCAATAAATAAAATGCAAGTATCACATACCAGACAGGAGGATGCCCTTCTCCCCGACCACAGTGCTGAAACCCTGTGGGAATCTACGAATGAATTCCGCAGCATTGGCCACTTCTGCTGCCCTCTCCACCTGCTGGGCTGTGACTGAGGATGGGTTGTCAGCACCATAGGCAATGTTTTCTGCGACAGAGCAGGAAAACAGGACTGGCTCCTAGAATTGTAAATACAGCACATTTGTCAGAAATTTCAGACAAGTTCAGGTAGGCACCATGGGTACCAAGGAGTTGAGGACAGGCCTCAGCCAAAAGTGATACACACTCACAGAACAGGGCTCTGCCTGGAGGTCCTGCTCTTTTACAGCCTTGCCTTGCCCAGCCAATCTTAAAAGTGCCAATTTAGGGGCCCGCAAATGTCTCAGGAGGTAAAAGGTGCTTGTTGTCAAGCCTGACAACCTGAGTTCAATGAGTTCATTCCCAGAGCTCACCCTGTGAACGGAGAGAACCAAATCCCCTAAGTTGTCATCTGACCTCCACGTGCACACCATGTCTTGTGCGCACACACACACAGACACAAAACAAACAAATAATGTAACTTTTTTTGTAAAAAAAAAAAAAAAAGGTACCAGTTTACCATGAACAAGACCAACTGGATCTGTTGTCTTCACCACATTGTGGAAAGGAGACCCCAAGATGGGTGCCCACAACTGCTGGCCCATGACAACTTTGTCGATCTCAACACTTCCCTTAGGGCTAGCAAGGCCTGGAAGATGCAAGTCCAACTGTCTACCTTTCATTATAGACAAAGGGTCCTTGTCCATCCATTGCTTTCTGACATACAACCAGACACCACCACAGCATCCTGACAGAGTCCTGTGCCTCTTGTCTCGCCTCTGCCCTCACGATGCACACTTCTAAGGTCTAGTACAGTCCAACCTAGTATAGGAGGGGTCCCCATCAAAGTGCAAAAATGGGAGGTGTGAGTATGACTACAAGGTGCGCATGGTACGAGAAACCTGCCATGATACAGTTTTGTTGCTTCACACAGTCTTGAGCAAGCAACGTCATGAAAAGGAACCACGTTTGGTTTCCATGACCATGAATGGGAACTGGGAAGAACAGTGAGAGCTTCTGCAACTCTTCCCGCCACCAACCCTCTACATTGCAAAGAAGCATCAGCCTCAGCTCTCAATAAAAAGTCAGCACTTCAACTGATGAAGAGTTTTGAGTCTTCACAGCCAGAAGTTTGTGTGTTGAACAGGTGTGATCCATCTGGAAGCCTCTGTCCCTCTCCTGAGAAACATGAGATCAAGAAAAGCAAAGGAAGAAGGGTGTGATGGCCCACACTTGATAGGCAGAAGGAGGCAGACCTCTGTGAGTTTGAGGCCAGCCTGATCTACAGAGTGAGTTCCGGGACAGCCAGGCCTGTTATACAGAGAAAACCTGTCTTGTAAAACAGAGAGACAGAGAGAGAGAGAGAGAGAGAGAGAGAGAGAGAGAGAGAGCAAAGGAAGACTGGCATATGGGTATGGTGGCGCATGCCTTTAGTTCTAGTGCTTGGAAGGCAGAGTTAAGCAGATCTCTGAGTTCAAAGCCAGTCTGGTCTACAGAGTTCCAAGACAGCCAGGAGTCAGGACTGTTACACAGAGAAACCTTGTCTCAGAAAAGAGAGAGAGAGAGAGAGAGAGAGAGAGAGAGAAATAGAGAGAGAGAGAAAGGGAAAAGCAGCTTCAACAAAAATGTCTTACCTGACTGACTGTCCCAACCTTGGATCTCAGCCAGGTGGGGTTTAGCTGACGAATGTCGTGGCCATCAAGACTGACAGTTCCTGTTGGGGGTGGGGGTGGGGCACGAGGTCACCACAGGTGAGGGCTGATAACCAAAGTGAACACAAAAAGGACCCGGTGGGAAAATTCTAGATATTTTCTACCTCTCTCTGTCTCTATCTGTCTGTCTTTCCCTCTCCCATACCCCTCTTTCTTAGAATAGATCTCTTGTAGCCTAGTTAACTTCATACTATGTAACCAAGAATAATATTGAACTTCCAATCCTTTTCCTACCTGAGATTATAGGAGTGTACCAAATAGTGATTTGACCCCTCTCCCGAAATGCTGTACTGGGGATCAAATCCAGATTCTTATGCATGCTAAACAAGCAGTCAACCACTTGATCTATATCCCAAACCACAGACAATTTTCAAAAACTAAACATATACTCAGGACTTGGAGTGTGGCTACTGGTGAAACACTTCCTAGCATATACAAAGGCCTGGGTTCTAATCCAAAAAAAAAAAAAAAAAAAAAAACCCTAACTTCCACATGGAACCTAAAACCAACAAAGTTTGGACTTTCAGAGCAAGAGGGGTCTTCTGGGAGGTCTGAGACTCTGACTTCCTTCCTGAGTCTGCTGCAAGCTGGGCTACCTGGTAATGCTGGTGTTCCATGAATCTGATGTCTTATGCACACCCACTGGCTAGCAGTTCACATGGCAACCTCCTGACTCTATAGTCTCCTGATCATGCCAGTATCAGAAGAGACCACAAAGGCCTGGTTCCAGGGGAGTGGAGAGTTCTATAAGTGTTCTCCAAGTTAAAATGAAGTCTATTTTGTCACTCCATCTAAGCTTATGCAGGACATATATACATATATCCTATAATGAATGAGACAGTGTCATACTTGTTTTCTAAATCCAAAAATTAAAGCTCATGCACAGACAAACAGGCTTAAAGTCTGTAAGACTTAGTAAGAACCTGTTTCAAAAGAAAAGGTAGCTGGGTGCTGGTGTCACACACTTTTAATCCTAGCACTCCTGCCCTTAAGATGTCCTAGATCTGCCAACACTACAGGCATACCATAGCTACATACCATAGCTGTGCCTGTGACAACTATTTCTATGTTCAGTGTTTGGAAGTCAATGAGCACTAAGAATGGTTTATAGACTGACATTTTGCAGAGCCATGGGAGGTGGTACTGGGGTGTGGCTTTGATGCTGTTGGATAGACCCCAATGTTACCAAAAGGTTACATGGTCAGCATTTTATAAAGTTAGAACTTCGGAGTTGGGGAGTGGAAACTGGGTTTTGCGGGGGAGGGCATACAGAGGACACACACACACACACACACTCACTCACACTCACACACACACACACATACACACACACACACACACACACACACACACACACATACACACACACACACAAATCCCAGCACTCAGAGGCAGGCACAGGTAGTTCTCTGTGAATTCGAGGTCAGCCTGGTCTACAGGAAAAATTCCTACTAGTTCCTACAATTTTTTTTTTTTTTCAAGACAGGTTTCTCTAATTAGATTTGTAAACCAGCCACCACTGCCTGGGTCTGGTTCAGAAAATTTTAGCAGCAGCATTACCACATGAAAGTGGAACCCCCTGGTACCAGGTTAACTTTTTATAAAGGAAGTGGGCATAGTGGTGCATACTTAGAATCCCAGCATTCAGGAGGCAAAGACAGGAGGATTGCCACAAGTGTGAGGTTGGCCTCATCCACATAGTGAGTTCCAGGCCAACCTTGTCTTTAAAAACCTAACAACAACAAAACAAACAAACAAAAAACAGTCTAGGAACAGTTTGGAGGCAGTGCTCCAGTGTGAGTATGGAACACTCCACAGCACCTTTGGCTGCTGGCACTAGAAGGCATTTCCTGGGTACTATTGGGTACTGTCCTGCTGACTCTCCTGGCTAATCTTACATCAACTTGACACAAGCTAGAGTTATCTGAAAGGAAGGAAGCTCAATTGAGAAAGGCCCTCAATAAGATCTAGCTGTAAGGCATTTTCTTAATTAGTGATTGATGTGGGAAGGACCAGCTCACTGTGGGTGGTGCCATCTCTGGGCTGGTGGACCTGGGTTCTATAAGAAAGCAGGATGAGCATGCCAGGGAGAACAAGTCAATAAGCAGCACTCCTCCATGGCCTCTGCATCAGCTCCTGCCTCCAGTTTCCTGCCTTATTTGACTTCCTTTGATGATGAACAGCAAAGTGGAAGTATAAGCCAAATAAACCTTTTCATCTCCAACTTGCTTTTTGGTCATGGTGTTTTGTTGCAGCAATAGAAACCCTAACTAAGACACTCACCTACATCCAACAGTAGGAATGCAGGGAAGTGTTGTTGAGTGTGGAAATCAGAGCACTATACAAGTCTCCTCCAGGTGTGATCTTTCCTGGGCATGGGGTGGGAGCAGGCAACAGAAGAGTACACAAACAACTCAGGGATGCATCTGCCCACAGTATCATTAGCCACCTACCAGAAACAGGGTCATACAACCGCAGCAGGAGTGAGACAACTGTTGATTTTCCAGAACCACTGGGGCCAACCAGTGCTGTGACAGATCCAGATGGAATGGAAAGACTGAAATCATGGAACACAGATACTTCTGGCCGAGCAGGGTACGTGAAGTGCACATTTCTGAACTCCAGAGCACCCTGAAAGCTTTTCTCATCTAACACAGTTCCCTCTGAAACACAAGAGAGAATACAGAGAGATAAAGCAAAAATGGAGCTCATGGCAGAACTTGCCTATCTGAAGTGAACAGGGACAGATGTCCTTTCCCAACACAGTTCATCCTGGAGAAGCAGGCCCATGTGCTGGGCTTATCATGCATAGGATAATGTGCAGACAGCCTTGTGTGACCTTACAAACCTGAGACGCCACCTTTCCTTAGGAGGATTTTAGGGCTGTACACTATAGCCTGCTCCAGTTAAGTGCCATGAAGACTCACCCTTGCGGCAGTCTGGTGCCAACTTAATAACTTCTCTCAGTGCCATTGCACTCAAGTAGCTCCTTTGCAGAGTTCTTCATATACCCCAAATAAACATTTCAAAAGTGCAATGATAGAGGCTGTATGATAGCCCTGAGGCTAAGGAAGGTCAAAAGTTTACTTAGCCCCAGTGTGACCTTGGCCCTAGCTTCTATCATCCTGGACAGTACCAATATCTGACACACTGCACTGCAAGCACCTAGCAACATGCAGGCATCCCTGAGTGCTAAGTGTTACCACGTATGGCCGTCTTCCTCCCACATTTCCTCCAGATGGTCTAGGCCCATGGCTTGAGGGAAGCTGATGACAAGGAAGGAGGAGATGGTCCTTGTACTTAGAAGCAGCATTCCCAAATCACTCCCAAATGTCAAGAAATGTGAAGTCTTTTATTCATCTTCTCCCTCCAACTTCTTGCAAATGTCAGAGTCACTAAGGAAGATTCTAGAAAGCCACCTACATGTTCCTACTCACACCAGGTCAACTTGCTGCCATCCTGTCCTTGCTGGTAATGACTGGCTGCAGGTGCATGAGCAGCATGCCAGATCATCAGCCCCACATTTCCAGAACATCCCTGAGGTGTACCCACTCGGTCCCACGGGACTCCTGACTTTCTTCTCCCTGCTCTGAAGTAGAGGCCACCTCCTGGCAGTGGCCCATTTTCTGAGGAAAGCAGAACATTGGTCTAACTGTCCAAAGATTGCTTCTTAAAATCCCAGCAAAGAACATCCCCACCTCAGACCCACCATTAAAAGGCAGTTGTGGCTGTCTCTCCAGCAGCTCCCAGAGCCGCCCACCAGCACCCAGGCCTTTCATCAGCTCGGAGTAGAATGAACTTAGACCTGAGGGCAAGAAGAGTTTATCGTTAGCTGACAAGAAAGGCCTGTCCTGAGGAATCCTGGCAATTGCAGCTATCAACATGAAATCTGCTACTTTCACTAAAGGAGCGGAGGCTGCTAGCTGCTGCATCCGTCCATTATTTACCCTAGCTCTCCCACAGTTTCTCTTTCTCAGGTTTCACAGATTGCTAATAAGGAAAGGGAAACTTATGTGGCCACACTGATTACCAGTAAGAAGTCATAGTACTGACAAGAAGAAACCTCCTCAGACAGCACAGCAAGTGCCTCACAGGGCCTACCTACCCCAAGTGAACTGAAATTCCTAGAAGAAAAAAAAGATTCTACAAGGGCTTTAGGCCATGAGAGACATAAAAGAATCTTAAATGTGCAGTAATAAGTAAACCAACAAGAAAAGGCTGCATGCTTAATTGATTCCATCCCCATGGCACTTGAAAACTTCAAAGCTGTACAGGTAGTAAGAAAATGATCTGTGGATGCCAGGGGTAGAAGAATTAACAGGTGAAAGTGGAAATACACAAAGTAGCAAAGGTAACTGCTTTGTGATATTATTATGGTGAATCCAGGACAATACATATTTGTCTAATTCACACAATGTATATATATAACACCAAGAGCTAAACCCAATGCTAGCTTTGATAACAACAATGTGTCAATGTAGGCTCAGCAACTGTGTAACAAATAGACCATTCAGGTGAAGAGAATGACTGAACTAAACTGGGGTGGGAGGGAGCAATCTCTATAAATGCAACAGTATTGCTTTTTTAAAAAGAATTCTAAGGCCTCTGTGAGTTCCAGGCCAGCCTGGTCTACATAGCAAGTTCCAGGATAGCAAAGGTTACATAGATACATTGTCTCAAAAAAAATTTTTTTCCCCAAAGCTGAGTATGGTGGCCAACATTTGTAATCCCAGTAATCCGGAGACTGAAACAAGAGGACAGAACTCAAAGCCAACGTGTGTTATATAGTAAGAATCTCAATTTTAAAAGATTTATATTTATTTAAATTTTATGTATACCAATGGACAAATATTACTTTCAGCTTTTCTTAGAGAACCCTCTCCTTGTAGAGAACAGCAGTGAATACAGAGACTCAGTGAGAGAGATCCAGTTGAGAGCTCAGTCCTAAACAAGGCATTTATATAACCCCTTTAAAGTTTAGAAACATTTGCCAAAGAATGGGCCAAAAGAATGCTAAAGCAAGGAGATGGGAGGAAGGGCCGTGAAATGCCACCTTCCGGGCATGGCACGCCACTGCAATCATACACTCATAGGAGCTGTGGTTACAGACGCTAGGCCTGGATGAGAATGGCCCTGCAAGGGACAAGAAAAGGTTCTGTAGGGTCCTACCCGCTCACTGCTGAACTTCTGACTACCCACAGATTCTGGGAAAGAGGGAGTCATTGTCTTCAGCTGTTACCCACTGGTGAGCCTACCAAGCTCAATGGGTAGTTCCAAACCCAGAGTCATACTGTCAGTCCAGGCTAAACTCAGTGGGACACAAAACAAAACATAAAATCATGAGCGTGGGGAAGAGATCTGTAGAGAAGAGAAGCTAAGAGGGATAGAAGAGGGAGAAGGGAGGGCTGGGGAAATAGTCAGAATGTACTAGGTATGTATGAAACTGTCAAAGAACAAAATAAAAAGACAAAAATGTATCACTAATTCTGAGGAAGGAAGAAGAGAGGCTGAATATGGAGAGTTTAAGACTCGGAGCTGCAAAATGTGTGATATAAAACTTACTATCCAGGCTTACTATCTCCATCCACTCCTACCAACCACCCTCCTCTCCCCTGGGTAGCAGGAGACATTCAATAACAGTAGTTTGGGAAACATGGCTCCCCTGTGGCCCTGAGCTATGGAAGGAAAAAAGGGCCCCAACCCAACAGGGAACCTACTCACCCACTCATGTAACTTCATTTTTGCTTAAGGGAATGGCACAGCAAGAATGGCTATTCAGTGAGGCCTGGTTTTCAATGTGTACCCTCAAAGCCTGTTTATGTAATATACCTCCAATGCTCAATCCAACCCAGAAAGCGTACATGAGGAAGGAGGAGAGTTCGCCCACTGTCATATGGGCGCTGCCCATCAGCAGGCCCCCCTTGTACAGGACAGACAGCACAATCAGGTTGCCCGAGAGCCCAGCCTACAGGAGGAAGAAAACAAAGTGGTCAGTAGGACCAAAGGCCTCTTGGGACACAAAAGTATAAACTAGGCCTCTGACTCCCTTTTAATATATAAAATTTCTCACAGAAAAGGTTATGAAGTATTTGCAACAGTGAAGAAAATACTTACATTCCCACAAAAGCTTAAATGCTATTGCCTCTCAGGCTATTTCCCCCAACCTACTCAGCTTGTAAAAGACTCTCAACAGTAACAACTATGCCTCCCTAACTGAAGATAAATCAGTGTGCCACATTCATGGCTCTGAGGAGATGTTCTCCACCTAGAGCTGCAGCCCTGCCTCTAAGCTCTGCTCCCCACTCTGGGAGCTTTGGGTCCCTAGTGAGGTCTTCTTGGAGGTGCTGCTTCTCAATCCATTTAATAGCCTCTGAGAGGTTCTTTCCAGTTTAAATGGAAATGTTTCAATTTTCATTTTTTCAGGTTTTTGTTTGTTTGACAGTCTCACTATGCAGCCCTGGCTGGCCCAGACTCACTGTATAGACCAGGCTGGCCTCAAACTTACAACAATCTGCCTGTCTTAGCATCCTGAGTATGCCCAGTACATAAGGTGGTTTTCTACTCAGGGCTTCTGGGTACTTTGTGATCAGTTTCTTATACTTTCTTCTGGAATGTACTGAAGTCATATAGTCCTCAACAGGATTAGCCAAATGAGATTACATTTGAAGGACTCAGAAGCCTGTGTAAACATATGTCGTGGCACAGTCCTAAGGTCCACACAGCATGGATACTCAATGCCAGTGGCTCTTAAAGCTGCCTGGACACATACTGGAGGTGAGCACCAGATTTTACACACACTGTTTTTCTCTGATTCCACTTTCTTGTTCTCCTCTTCTTCCATAAAAATAGCTTAAAGGCCAAGTCATTCTTAGGGTTGAAATAAAATCATTTCTACTGTCAAGAGCCACAGAATGAAAATCTCTTGCAGTCTCACTGCCTACAATAAACAAACTACTTACTGCTCCAAAGAAGCCGGCTCTCGCGAAGGCCTCCTTCCGTGCTAGCTGCAGCAACCGGTCCACTTGGCTGCTGTATTTCTCCACTTCTAGCGTCTCCTTCCCAAAAGCTCGGATGGTTCTTATGTTTCCAATACGCTCCTCAGCTAGCTATGAGAATTCAAACACATAGCAAGGGGCTGGGAAGATGGCGTCACAGTTAAGAATACTTGTTGCTCTTGCAGAGAATCTAGGTTTGATTCCCAGCACCCACGTGGTGGTTCACAACCATCTGTAACTCCAGTTCCAGAGGATCCGGTACCCTCTTATTTCCAGATACCAAGTACACATGTGGTGCACTGACATACATGCAGGCAAAACACTCATACATTAAAACACACACACACAAACTCATGGTGAAGGGAGGAGTGTCACAATGCAATCAACAGTAAAATTAAAATGTGGCTCTTCTTCAACATGCTGCCAATGGAAGGCTGCATGAGAAGCACAGCCAAGTAAGATCACAGAGCAGAGTGCAAAGAAGAATCCCTCTTGCTGTCAGAAAAATAAAAACTGCAGGGCTGGAGAGATGTCACAGACAGACAGGAGTGCTTACTGTCCTTGTAAGGAACTGAGCCTGGGCGCATTAACCTCAGTGAGTGGCTTACAACTGCCTGCAACTCCAGCTTCAGGAAGTAAAATGCCCTCTTCTGGCTTCTGTGGGTATGTACATATTATGTGTGCACACACATAGACACAGACGCAGACTGACAGACTCAGACACACACACACACACACACACACACACACACACACACCCAGAGAGAGAGAGAGAGAGGGAGAGAAAGAGAGAGAGAGAGAGAGAGAGTGCCCATACACTTTACAAAGACAGACAGACAAGTAATAGGGCAGCAGAAAAAAAAAAAAAGACAGGTGGAAAGACTAAACTACAAAACATCAATGACACTAACTCTGAATTATTGAAGAGTTTTGGATTATCTGGAATTGTGGATAAATAGGATTATTATGTTTATGTCACTTAATATTTTCATATTTCCAATTATAAAAAGGCACACTTTTTGAAACATGAAAATACAAGTTATTTTGGATTTAAAAAGATAGTGCTGGGATGGAAAGATGACTCAGCTGTGGAAAGCATGTTATTCTAAAAGACCTAAGTTTGATTCTTAGCACCATTATCAGGTACTACACAATGGTCTGTAACTTCAGCTCCAAGAGACCTAATGCCCTCTACTGGCCTCTGAGTGCAACTGCATTTATGTATACACATACCCTGTATACATAACTAAAAATAAGAAAAAAAATTTTAAGACAGTGCTACACAGTCTGCTTTACTGAGTTAATGAAGGACATGGTGCCACCTAAACATTTTCCCCAAAGTGCATAAGTTTCTGTTTTTATTTTTGTCTTTTAAGAAAAGGTCTAGAGAGGGAGCCTAGGTCTCAAACTCATGATCCTCCTGCCTCAGGCTCCAGAATGCTTATCTTACAGGTGTGTCCCACCACAGCTGGTCATATTAGCTTTCAGTCCTACAAGGAACAGTGATAGAAAACAGTGAGAAATTGATACCACAAGGTATGGAGGCTCACAACTGTAATCCTAGCACTTGGGAGACAGAGGCAGAAGGATTACCATGAATCTGAGGCTAGCCTTGGCTATACAGTGAGTTCTTGGCCAGCAGATTGGATGTACTCTGGGGTAAATGGCAAGTCAGGTGTAGAGCATTTCACATTAAGGTCTACTGGGAGAAAAGGAAAGCCTTTGCTGTGTCTTTCCCTGGTGCTGGTGCTGGGCAGGAACACACCTTGCACACCATGCATTCTGCCTGTTGCTGTGAGCCCCATACCTAGATAACACACATGGGAGGCCAGTACCTGTGTGGCTTGTGCCAAAGAGTCCTGTGTGGCTTTGGACAGTTTCCGTAGATATCGCCCATAAATCACGGCGAGGATAGAGATCGGAGGTACCACACTCAGAACAAAGGTGGCCAGACTGGGTGACACAAAAAACTGTGAAGAACAAAAGTTAAGAGCATGTGTTCCTTGAAATGGCAAGGCATCCTCAGACCTACACTATGCAGACAGGAAGACACTGTCTCTAAGCCATGCCTCCTGTCTGGGTTGGATTTTCCTGGCATCTTTAATCCTTACAAAACCCAACACCAAAGCTGAGTGTGATGGCATAGGCCTTTAAATCCCAGCACTCAGAAGGAGACGGAGGCAAATGATCTCTATGAGTTAGAGGCTAGCCTTGTCTACATAGTGAGTTCCAGGCCAACCAGGTCTACATAAAGAAACCCTGCCTCAAAACCAAAACAACCACAAAAACTCAAAGTGGGCATACTACCAAGGAGAACTGTGGCTGCCACTGCTGGAGAAAAGATGTAAACAGCATATTTGCTGGCCAATTCCAATAGGCTCTACTATGCCAGACCACATCTTCAACAGCAGAGCGAGGGGTGGGATGGAATGAAGATTCAGCAGAGAGGCCTACTCAGCACTAGTAAAACCACATCATGAGTTCTAAACTCAGCCATCATCACCCTAAGGCCCAGAGTGTCCAGAATTTTCCCACATAGATCAACAAGTCAGAGAAGACACCAAAACATCCCATATCATACACAGTTGAAACAGGGATATGAATAAAACAGCCATAGGTTAGAGTGGGGGAACTGTTTCCCTGGCTTAGCAGCCTAGAGCCAGTAGGCCAGGCTTGGTCAGTTTAGCTACAATAGTACCTCAAAGAATAAGAACCTTTTTGTTTTCTTTTTGTTGTTGTTTTCTGAGACAGGGCTTCTTTGTGTAGCCCTAGTTGTCCTGGAACTCACTCTATAGACCAGGCTGGCCTCAAACTCAGAGATCTGCCTGTCTCTGCCTTCTAGTGTTGGGATTAAAGGCGTGTACCACCAACATCTGGTCTAAATGCTTGGGGTTTTGGTTTTTTGTTTTGTTTTGTTTTGTTTCGGAGACAGGTTTTCTCTGTGCAATATCCCTAGCTATCCTGGAACTTGCTTTGTAGACCAGGCTGGCCTTAAACTCAGAGATCAGCCTATCTCTACAAGAACCTTCTTGAATCAGCCGATTAGACTCCCCCAGTTCTGCAATGTGGTGATTGTTTTAAATGGTACTAGTGGCTCTTCAATACATTATTAAAATGTGCCAAATCTCATTTGCACAGAAAATAATATAAATGGCCTAAGGTCTACTAAAGTTGCAGTGATAACACTGAAGACTAAAATGTAAAGTTTATAAGATGGACTGACTAATTGCTCATCTGTTTCTTACTCTCAAATCATAATTCTGCTAAGTAATTGGCAATACTTTTTTTTTTATGTCCTGCCCTTTGCTTTGCTTGACTTTTGTTGTTCATTTGTTTGTTTGTTTTTATACACTCGCATATTATCAAGGCTAGCTTCAAACTAGCAAGATTGACCTTAAATTTATGATTCTCCTGCCTCTGTCTACTGAGTTTTGGTATGACAGACATATGCCACCATGCCAGCTTTATTCAGTACCGGAGATTGAACCCAGGGCTCAGTGCATGCTGGGGAAGCATTCTACTAACTGAATTACAACTCTACCATTCTTTTTGCCTTTTAACCTTGCCCCACAAACATTAAGGTCATTCACAAGTTACTCAGGCCAGCAGCGCTGGTTGGAACACAAATACTACCTGGAGAGTAAGCTGAGATGGGCTGAGCCAGCAGAGATGAGCAAGACAGCTGTGGAACACAGGCCACCTTGCAGGGGCACAGAAAATGAGGTCTGTACCCCTTAAACCTGACAGTTGGTTCCCAAAGGGGCTCTTTAGCCTGACATTCTTAGCTGTCTTCACACCCTGGTCTTACACATCTTCAGGAAAAGCCGCTCTCTAGATTAATACTTACACAAGAGAGATATAGGCCAGGCCAGGGGAGATATTCCCCATGTCCCCACAGTCTGGGACAATGTTCTTGGCTCTATAAGCTTACAAACTTACAAGAATATCTCAAGCCCCTCATGCTTAAAAGCCCTGGCCCCGAGAGCCCTGACATAAAGCACTAAGAGGAATAGGCTGACGTACCATCATGCCAACACCAACCGAGGCCTGGGCCCCAGCCCTCAGTCCATCAGAGAGGTTTTCAGTCACTGAGCGCCCCAGGAGTGCAGTATCTGAGGACAGGCGGTTAATCAACTCTCCTGTGCGGGTCTTATCAAAGAAAGCAACCTCTTGCCTTAGGATAGAGGAGAACAGTGAGGTGCGTAGCCTGTTCACAATGCTCTGACCTGCAAAGCAAACACAGCAGCTAACAGTGAATGCAGCCACCTGCCACTCGTGGGGCAGCCACCAGCAAGCTGTTTATACAGCCTGTTTTCAAAGCCAGCTTGTAGACTAAGCACATCAACTCAATGGATCCTGGCATGGAATGAACTCATACAGGGTTAGCATGTTAACATCCTGTTAGTAACTATAGACTGTGGGTACAAGGAGAGGAGAGTGTGATAAAAGGTAACATGGGCTAGCAAGATGATTCAGCAGATAAAGGTGCTTGCCATGTAAACCTGATGACCTGAGTTATCAGATGGAACCCTTGAACTCATATAAGGCTAGGATAGAACTGACTCCAGAACATTTTCCTCTGACCTCACCATATGTGCATACATGCCTGCACAATGTAAACACATCATAACAACAATAAAAATGCATTTTAAAAAAAGGTAACATGTTCCTTGACATGTGAGGAGCATCACAAACCCAGAATGTCAATCTGTTCATGACTGGCTGCCCTTACACGAACTGTACTTTGCAATGGCAGCAATGGGTCAGTCACCCTAGAGAGCAGCTTACTAGCCATGCAGACATGGAATGCTGTCCTAGGCTACCAGCACTGGGGTGGTTCCCTGCTTGCTAAATAGGCCTCTCTAAAGAAATGCTACTCAAGTTCCTATCCCAGTAGCTATACAGCATGAGCAGACAGGTCTTGCTTTTACTACCTGCTCAACCCTGAACACAAGAAAGTAGAGAATGTACTGAATGATCATAATACCATCTTGGTGGGATGTGGGATCTGTCCCCAATGAATGCAATTTCAGGAAGAAACTGGACTGGGGCTTGGAGCAGTGACACTCGAAGCCCTGACACTACCTCAGGACTTTGTCATCTTTGAGATGACCGCCCCCTCCCCCAAACCTAATGAGACTGACCTGAAGATTGCATGAGGTAGACACGAATGGCGTTCGCAGCAGCACCACACAGGAACACACAAGTGAGTCCAGCACAGAGGCGAGTCAGGCTGTCGCTATAGTCCGCACTTGGGTTGGTGTAAATAACATCAATGATCTTCCCCAGGAAGAAAGGGGCAGACATGGTGATGACACTGGACACAGCAAGAAACCCAACAGCGGCTGGAAGACAGGAGCAACACTCAGAACTCACTCTACAGCACAGGACAGGTGCAAGCACAAAGGGCCTCAGACCTCCACTAGCCTCAATGGCTGGGCTTTCTCCTTCACCAATGGGCCTGACTAAAGGAAGGGCCAGATGGCTTCAGGTTAAGGACAAGAAGCTTGACTGTGAGGGAATGTGTGTGCCCAGCTAGACAAGACAATTTTTTTCTCGTGAGACTGGCAAAGACTACGTGCTCAGAATGCTGGTGAAGATGTGGGAAGGGGCTCTCACTGGTGGGGACATACAGTGGCACTGACGGAAGAAGCAAGTTTACACCAGCAACAAGTGAGATCCTTTGAATAGTAATGCACTTCTGAGAATTTTACTTACAAACTTCCACATGAAGTGTGGAAAAATAAATCCAAGGATGTGGGATTATAACATTAGTCATATCAGCAAAAGAATCAGTGTCTTAAACACCCACCTAAACAAGGTAAGTTGCACCTACTATCAAGAATTTAGAGATGGCTCAGAGGTTAAGAGCCCTGGCTGCTGTTCCAGAGGTCTTGAGTTCAATTCCCAGCAACCACACAATGGTTCAAAACCATCCCAGTGAGATCTGCAGGGATATATGCAGACAGAATACTGTAAACATAATAAATAAATAAATATTAAATTTAAAAAAAAAAGAATTTAACTGGGCAGTGGCACATGCCTTTGCTCCCAGCACTTGGGAGGCAGAGGCAGGCAAATCTCTGTGAATTCGAGGCCAGCCTGGTCTATAGAGTAAGTTCCAGAGCAGGCTGCAAATATAATATCTGGACTTGGTGGAGCACGCCTTTAGTCCCAGCACTCAGGAGGCAGAGGCAAGTGGATCTCTGTGAGTTCAAGGCCAGCCTGGTCTACAGAATGAGTTCCAGGACAAGCTCTAAAGCTACAGAGAAACCCTGTCTTGAAAAAATTATAAATATTAAGCTACCAATATAAGGAATGAGGTAATTCTTGGGGTATCTACTTGGAACAGTTCAGCAAGATGTACCATGGGAGCTGGGCCTGGTGACACAGGCTGATATCAAGGAGGATGAGTCTGGAGGATCACAAGTTCCAGAATGAGTCCAAGACCAGTCTGAACAACTTAATGAGACACTGACTCAAAATAAAGAGAACTTTGGATGTAGCTATGTGCTAGAGCACTTGCCTAGCATGTGTGAATCCTAGGTTCAATCCCCAGATTGAACTGTTAAAACAGAGAAAAACAGACAGACACACAAAGACAAATGATTGGTTAAAAAAAAAAACAAGTCTTAGAAAATAATGCTAGCATCTGTTGGGTGTTTTCCTCTTTTTTCTTTCCTCAGAGTTTATATGAGCACAAAACTTTTTGTTTTGTTTTGTTTTTCTGAGACAGGGTTTCTCTGTGTAACCCCGGCTGTCCTAGGACTCACTCTGTAGACCAGGCTGGCCTGAACTCAGTTATCCACCTGCCTCTGCCTCCTAAGTGCTAGAATTAAAGGTGTGCCACCACTGCCTGTCAAGTACAGAACATTTTTTAGAAGAATATTAAGAAACAGCAGCCTAGGTCCCTTTAAAGAGCAGTGCTGTGACTGGTAGAGGGTAGATCTGCCTCCTCTGGGCTTCTCTGGTTTGGGGCTACAAACCTCATAGGAGCCTTACTGCTTTATGGCAGGACTGCTGGTGACTCTGGGAAGAGTTCTCTGGCCCCATCTGCAGAGGATGGGTGCTTCTTTCTCCTTGGCCTAATGTTCACACTTCAGCTAAAGAAATCATTCTAACATAGTCTTGAGAAAGCATGGACCAGTGTGGTGGTTTGAACATGAATGCCCCCATAGATTCATGTGTTTGAATGCTTGGCCATAGGGAGTGGCATTATTAGGAGGTGTGGCCTCACTGGAATAGATGTGGCTTTGTTGGAGGTGGTATGTCACTAGGGGTGGGCTTTGAGGTCTCAGAAGTTCAAACCATGCCCAGTGTGGCATTCTCTTCCTGCGGCTTACAGATCCAGATGTAGAAGTGTCAGCTCCTTCTCTAGTTCCATGTCTTCTTGCGTGCTACCATACTTCCCTCCATGACAATAACAGACTGAACCTCTTTACTGTAAGCCAGCCCCAATTAAATGTTTTCCTTTATAAGAGTTGCCTTTGCCATGGTCTCTTTGCAGCAACAGAAACCCTAACTAAGACAACCAATGAGCAAGCAGAGCTCTAGCAGTATGTAGGGCAGCAGTGGCCTTTTGAATAGGCAATAGGCCTTGTTATCTTTATTCCAACATCACCTCTTGAGAGGACCAGCTCTGGAGCCTCACTTAAAATGAAGATATCTGACACTGATTCCTGCCCTTCATTTGTCTCCTACTTTCCCTCCTGGAATTCTAAATGTTATCAATGGCTTACTGTTTATGCCTGTTTTGCTTACTGCTGTAAGCCCACCACCTTCACCTACAGCACAAAGCGGGAACTCAGTCAATACATATTCAATGAATGAAGGGGCACACTGGACTTTGACAAAGTATCTAACCAGAACAAAGTCCTTTGCCAGCTCAACAGGGAAGGTCAGACCTGGCCACTCAGGGAGTTTACACACCAGTTTTCAAAACTCGTAATTGAGAGTGAAGAAAATTGGGGCCTGGAGAAATGACTCTGCAGTTAAGAGCACTTGTTGCTCTTGCAGAGGAGCCTTGTCCAATTCCTAGTGTTATGATGGAAGCTTCACCCCAGCCCCTGGCATCCATATACCCAAAGAGTCTGAGATGTTATGGTCGCAAACCCTGCTGCATCTCAGAAAGCCCGCCAAATGATGACCCCTCCCCCGGAGATGCTCAAGACCACTTCCCCAGGGTATTTAAACTGTCTCCCAGAAAACAGACTAGTGGCTTTTCTGGTCTCCCTTTTCTGTCTCCTCTCTGGGGGGCTGGAAGGCCATCTGGGAGCACTGTATCCATTAAATGTGGACTTTTTCTAATTACATTTGATTTGGTCTGATTTGGATTGCTGCATCAGCGGAGAGGCTTACTGGGGTGCAGAAACTTTTCACCTAATACCCACATGGTGGCTCACAACCATCCATAACTCCAGTTCCAGAGGATCCAATGCCCTCTTCTGACCTCTGCAGAACCCAGGTATGTTATGTGATGCACGTACATCCATGTGCACATGCATAAAATAAAAATGAATAATTTTTTAAAAAAGAATTTTTATCCTGTCTGTGGTGGTGAACGCCTTTAATTCCAGGACTTGGAGGCAGAGGCAGGCAGAGTGCTGTGAGTTTGAGGATAGCCTGGTCTACAGGAGGACAGCCTGGTCTACAGAGCGATTTCTAGGACAGCCAAGGTTATTACACCAAGAAATCCTGTTTCAAAAAACAAAAACAAAAAAACTCAAAGAAAAGTATAACAACAACAAACCCCAAATCACAAACTGGATGTGTTGACATACCTGCAGGCCCATCCGAGCACTCAGGAGTAAAAGGGAGAATATTAAGAGTTCAAGGTCATCCTCAGCTACTTATAGAGTTTGAGGCTATCCCAGGCTCATATCTTAAAAACAAAAACCAAACCAACACAACCCATAATCTCAATCCAACTGGATGATATGAACCAGGACAGAAGCAATTTCCTTTTGATGTAAAGCACCACGATCCCGGGACAGACAAGCAGGGAGAGTAGTGTTCCATACTGCTCAATCCTAATGAAATGAGAGATGCTATCCTGCTGACTGAAGAACAGGGCAAAACTCTTCCCAAAGACTAGGCTCTCTTCCTATAGTTTTTCTTTTCTTTCCCTTCCCCATTTCCTTTCTTCAAAAAAAATTTTTTTTAATTTTTTTTCTTTGTCTTTTTGAGACAGCCTTGCTATACAGCTCTTGCTAGACTGGAACTCATATATACACAAGTTTAGGCTTGAACTTGCAGTGATCCTACTGTCTCTGCCTCCTGAGTCACTAGGATTACAGGCATTCATGAACACATTATACAGATCAGACTGACCTCAAACTTGAAGTGCTCTTCCTGCCTTGGCCTCCTGAGTGCTGGGATTACAGGTATGAACGACTATGCCAGGCTTCTCTAGTTTTCTAAATCACATGAAGAATATGCACTTTGTGAATTAGATAGCTTTGGTTCCAATTTAGTTCTTACACAGTAACGACATCCATACAAAGATGAGGGGGAAACCTGATTTAGGGGAAGCACATCTGTAATTCTAGCACTCAAAAGGCAAGTCCAAGGCTAGCTGGTCTAACTAGCCAGTTCCAGGCCAGCCAGGGCTACATAGTGAGATAGAGCCTAAAAAAAAAAGAAAGAAAGAAAGAAAGAAAGAAAGAAAGAAAGAAAGAAAGAAAGAAAGAAAAGCAGATGGGGCTACTTAGCTTAATCTAAAAATCATCCCAGTATATTCCATCAATTTATTTATTTTATTTTTATATGAAAATTTTTTATTTATTTTAAATACCAACCACAGTTTCTCTTCTCTCTTCTCCTCCCATTCCCTCCCCCCACTTCTTTCTACACCTCCCATCCACTCCTCAGAAAGGTTAAGGCCAAAAAGGAAAGTCAACAAAGCCTGGCATATCAAGTTGAGGCAGGACCAAGGTCCTCCACACCTGCTGAGTGAGGCATCCCACCAGAGAGGATAGGTTCCAAAAAGCCAGCTCATGCACCAGGGACAGATCCTGGTTTCAATGCTAGGGGCCCCAGACACAGACTAAGCCACACAATTGTCACTCACATGCAGAGGGCTAGGTCTGTCCCATGTAGGCTCCCTAGCTGTTAGTCTAGAGTCCATGAGCTCCCTGTGGGTTTCCCCAACATAATCTTGACGTGCCAAACCCCACCCCCTTTGCTCATATAATCCTTCCTCCCTCTCTTCAACTGAACTCCCAGAGCTCAACCCAGTGCTTGGCTGTGGATCTCTGTACCTGCTTCCATCAGTTACTGGATGAAGGTTCTATGATAGCAATTAGGGTAGCACCAATCTGATTACAGGAGAAGGCAAATTCAGGCA